GTTGGGCTTAGAATGCTACCTTGGGGTGTGCCATTTTCTAAGGGACACTGGTCCGATAGCGTTTGGTCGATACCCAAGGTTATTTTGCGATTAGTTAGGAAGTCTTGGATATAGTTTATTAATTGGCCTTTAAGTTCTGCCTTTTTAAGTTTTTGTATAGCCCGTTATGCCATACCATATCGAAAGCTTTAGAGAAGTCTAGAAATATGCCTATTGTGTATTGTCGGTTTAGTTGGCCCGTTTTGATGTCTTGTTCTAATTGGGCGAGGTTGTCTATGGTTGATCGGCCTGGGCTGAATCCACTTTGATCTTGGTTTATTATATTGTTTTGTTTCAGATAGTGTTGGAGTCTGTTTTTGACCATTGCCTCCATGATTTTACATAAGTTTGAGGTTAGGGAGATTGGTCTGTAGGAGTTTGCTTCGTTTGCTGGTTTGTTCGGCTTTGGTATTGGGATGACCAATGCTTCTTTCCATGAAGTAGGAACCTGGCCGTTTTGGTAGATGAGATTGTATAGTTTAAGTAGTGATTCCAGAAGATTTTGGGGTAGCTGTTTAATTATTTGGTATGAGGTTAGGTCAAGTCCTGGGGCTGTTCCTTTTTTTCTATTATTTAGTACATGGAGTAGTTCCTCTAGTGTATATTGTTGGTTATTTTCTAGATTATCATCTTTGGGTAATTTGAAGAATTTATTTTGATTTTTTAATTGTTTTTTTGAATTCCTCAGGGAAGTTAATATTACTACTAATGGCTGAGAAGTGGCCTGCGAGGTTATTTGCTTTTTGTTTAGGGTTTGTCGAGTTATTTATGTTTGGTGTGGTTTTTTTTGGTTCGTTTATGGCTCGGATTGCGTGTATTTTGCGCCATACTGTTCTTGCGTCTGTGTGATGGTTTATTTCTTCGCAGAATTTTTTCCAGTTTTTGGCTTTTTCCGTTTTGACTAAGCTTTGTACTTCATGGTTTAATTGATGTGCTATCTTTAGATATGTGTAGTCTCGTTTAGCTTTATTGAATGCGCTTTTGCGTTTTTTCCTAGTTTTTCTAATTTCCTCGGTCCGCCAGGGTACTGTGGTTTTGCCTATTATTGGTGTTTTGAAGGGGATAGTTTTTTTTGCTATGTTGATTATACATTCTGTTAAGTTTTGGCAGTATTGTTCGGGGTCTTTATTTTCGAGATCCGCTGGGTTGATCTGTTTGCATAGTGCTTTGAATTTGTCCCAGTCTGCCTTGTTGTAATTGAATTTTGGTTCTTGGGGTTCATTTGGGGTTTAGATATTTATGTTGCCTTGTTGTAATTGAATTTTGGTTCTTGGGGTTCATTTAGGGTTTGGATATTTATGTTGCCTATGGTTATGTGGATTGGAAAGTGGTCGCTGCCGAGTGGCTCTTCATGCACTTCCCACAAAGTGCTTTGGGCGAGATCAGGGGTACAGATTGTTAGGTCTACAGCTGACATATTTTGAATAATTTTATCATATCTAGTTGATTGGTTGTTATTTAGTAGTGTTAGTTTTATTTGTTCTATCCATTCGGCTATGAGTTTGTCGTTTTGGTCTGTTTTATCTTTAACACTCCAGGAGGGGTGGTGGGCGTATAAATCACCTAAAAAGATGGTGGATTTATGGCTTAGCTGATTTAGGGTTTCTAAGTCTTCAGGTTTAATTTGTTTTACTGTCCAGTTGTATATGTTTACAATGTTTATTTTTTGGTTGTGGTGAGTTATTTGTATAACATTAGCTTCAAGATTTGGGGTTTTAATTGGTATTTCTTTATGGTTTATGTCCTCCCTGATATATATGATTAAGCCACCGCCTGCTCTGCCTCGGCGCGATTTAACTCTGTCGAGTCTTACCGAGTTATAATTAGGTAGGGTGAATTTAGATTTTGGGGAGAAATGGGTTTCCTGAACACATATGATATGAGGACCTAGGTTTTTCCGAAAAATTATTTTTAATTCGTGGCCGTGGGCGGCCAGTCCATTGGCATTCCACTGTAATATGTGTAGTCCATCCATTATTTAGATAGCTTCGAGTTTGGGGATTAAGTTTTGTTTGGGTGTAGGTTGTTGTGGTTTCTATTTTGAGATTTCTTTTAATGTGTTATTGAAGTATCCAAAGGAGAGACTAGTAAGATTTAGTTTGGAAGCCACTGTGTGAAAGGGTTTAATGTTGGCGCTGGGGGGTGTTTTGTGTGAGTATATATGCTAGTAACATTGTAAGGTTGTTTAGGGTTTTGAATCCTGTCTGATTTGGTGTTTTATGGTTATGTTTTGTGGGGGTTTGAGGAAGACATTGGATGTGTCGAGTGGGTCTTCTTCGCTTATGGTTTGGGATGAGGTGTCCATGTTGGTTTGTTGTGTGTTTATTTGTCGTGTTGTGGGTCGCTGTTGTGTTTGTTTGTTGGTGATGGTGGATTTGGAGGCTGCGATGTTTGGTTGTTGTGCTTGTTTGGGTCTGGTAGTTGTTGCCCTAGTGGCTGTGGTGTTTTGGGTGGTCGGTATGGGTATGCTGCTTGCTCTGCGGCTTGTTTTGCCTGCGGGTGTAGATGTTGTGGCGTTGTTGTGTCTGGAGAACTCCATAAGAGATCTCCTGGATGTTGGTGGGTTAGGTGCGATGAAGGTATTTTCGGTGGATGTTTCCCAAACAGATTTTATGTTTTCTAGATGTTGGGTGTGCTGTTGTGTTGGTTTTGGCAATGGTATGATGTTTTCCTGTGGTGTGGGGAGAAGTGGTTTGGACGTGCGTGGTGCTGGTTTTCTTGTTTGTAGTTTTGCTGTGTCGATGTCTATGTGTTTGTTTGCCTGTTGTGTGAGGGTGTTTCTGTGGGGGCAGTGATTTGATAGTGAGGTGTGGGTAATAGTTTTGCAGTGTATGCACCACGAGGCGCATGATCCTGGACAATGTGGTTGGGCGCATTTTTTGCATTTTGTTATTTTAGACGTACATTGGGAGGTTGTATGGTTATACTTTAGGCATTTAGTACATTGTTTGACTGGTTTAATATAAGGTTTAACTTCTAAATTAGCCAGTGAATAGTCTAAGCACAGAGTCAGCTATTCACTGGCTTCCAAACATCCCAATCAGCTTCCGTGGTTGTTTACCCTACCCCATTAGTCAATCCTTGGCTTCCAATTTACTGTATAAACATTGATGTTAATAAGTATATATACCTAGTATGTTGTCCAGCACTATCTTTCACTTGCTTGATAAAGGTGTTAGGATCTACACCGAAACGTCGCACTAATTGTAATAAAGAAGTTGTTCATCCATAGAACTTGTCTTTCTTCATCTTCTTTATCATGATTACAATAATTTTGCAACTTGGATAATCTGTTTCTTGGACTTCTAAATATTGAAATATAATCTGGTGCCCTAAATATGGAAGTCATGCGCATTGCATCGTAGTTTAGTAAGTGACCTTCGTCGATGACGACGTTTCATCGAAAAGAATAGTTTTCTTCTGATGCAACGTATGATTTGAATGTCAAATAAGTTCTGGGGGATATAAATACACTTTAATGCCACTAATTAAATGATGAATACAGTTACATCATCTGATAATCACCTCTTTATTTCCAGCTTCTTGGGTGATGCATACATTTCCAAAACCATAGTTAGCTAAACGTATCAAAGCCTTTGTTGTTGTTGTTGTTGTTTTTGTTAGTGTCATTATAGTTTATATTAACACTAGTAACACTATATTCCACGTATAGGAGAACTCTCACTTGATTGTTACTTCAAACTTTTGGGAACCTAAAACACATTTTTCAAATCTAATTTTAATTGTAATTTAATTTTGATTTAACCCCACAACGTTTGTCTTGTCTATTAATACTAAGAACCCATTCTACAACAGTCATCAGTATATCAGTTTGTGTTTTGAGTGATGTCAGCAGGGACAGTTCTATCATCTGTAGGCGATGATGTTGATGATGCTTGGAGGGTTTCTTTTTACAAATATTCCTCTCTTGTCGTTTAGAACGAGATGATTTGCAAGTTCACTCATGTGTATAATGAATAAACCCAGCGACAATATAAAACCCTGTCAGACGCCTGTGTGTGTTTGTTAATAGTTCTTACCCGTTGAAGTACCAAATACATCCGCTTATCTCAGTGAAGTAAATCAAATGCCTTCTTAACAAAATAAACCATCCCTCTGTTTGTTCATATATTTTATGAACTAGCATAAATAATTGGTTGGTTGTGCTGTAATCTTCTCGAAATCCTGCTTGATATTCCGTTTTGGGTTGATAACCATTTCTCAAAATTAAGTCTGGTAACGGGCGTGAACACCGTAATAGGAATATCAAACATAGTAATACCTCTGCAGCTGCTAGGGTCATATACATTTCCCTACCTTTATTCTAAGCTTCATATGACAAAATGTCACATAGATTTTTTGGTTTACTTGGTAAATCTAAGATGACATTTGCTTTCATGGCTGACAATATCTCCTGTATTTTTCAATATAGTGATGTAACTATGTATATGTTTTCCATATTTAGTAACAAATGTCTAATGGATTAAGAATGTTATTATTTCTTTACGTTTGTCGTGTGGGATAGTGATGAAGAACGTTGAAATGTTACATGTTTTGACAGAATTGATCTTCGTTCGTTGCTGAAATTGCAAACAATCCAGCAATCCAGGAGTTTTTGAGAATCCACATGGTATTAATCCCACTTGTCTCAAGTATTGTCTGTGAATATATAGAAAGTCCTTCCTTAATTGTATTAAGGATTACCTGAATCCTGCAATATATCTCTCTCTTTGTACATACCTTTATTGTTATTTGAAGGAATTCAGTACAAAAGATGAATGCAAATTTCACCCGGTTTTAGAGTAAATCCAAGCGTGGATAGCTGAGGACCAAATGCGCTTTTGGTGTGAGCAGTGTTTCAAAATGAATCCATCGTTATGCTTTGGTTAATGTATCTCGTAAGTTCTTCATAAAATAAAAACAAATGCAAAACCGTTCAATAATAACAATATCCCCATAAATGCATTTGAATGTTTTATTAAACGTATTTTGTAAAACGCATTATTGTTGTGCCATGTGAACATTATATTTCAATTATCATATTGACAGTTTACAAGGGAAAAGATACATTAATGTTATCATGGGATTTACTGCAGCATTATACAGACGGATGTGCTAGAACAATTACTTTTCGACTTCATTTAAAAAGTACGACTCGGAGGGCCATTAAAATAGCAGATATATAAAAACATGAGTCTGTCTAGGCTTTGGTAATTCAAATTGTGATAATTCTCAAAACGTATGGTTTTAAGCAAAGTTACATATGTGATACCTTTTTCATGAAACAGACTATAGAACGGTTTTAGGTGAAGTTAACAGTTTAGTATATGAACAGCCTCTATATTAAAGATACGTATCTCTTTCTAGGATGGAGTATATGACCGACAATTACATGGATATCCCTTATTTAAGAAATGAGGTAGCATTTTTTGCCTGTTAACGATTAAATAGAACAAGTGCAGAGTTTGGTAGCTGTTCGACAAATCATGCCAGGTGTGGGATGAGAACATGTCAGAATGTTTAAGTTGGAGTGGTGGGCTCTACAGGCGATTCGTCTGTCTCACAGACCCTGATACAAATGTATGTCAAATACAGCCCATGCAAGTCTATAATGTTTGGCAAGTCTAGATCTGAAAATGAAGAGAGTCTCTGGGCTCCATTTTATTATATATTTATTAAGATAATTGAACAACTGGTGTGTGTTTTTTTCTGTATGATATGTTCATTTCAGAGACTAGATGTTAGTCTATACAGGCTATGAACACCTTGTGTACTCGTCAACGTTTGGTAGCGATACTCATGATATTCCAATCGGGGACGTTATCAGACGCCTTTATACAAACTGTATTCGATAATGACATTGGTGGACACATAGATCGACTTGTTAAAATATACATAATCACACGTTCCCTGACTTCAATTGCCGTAGGAAATGTCCCAGGATCCAAAGACTGTTAAGAAGTGAGTAAGATATGGATCGAGAATACCCGGAGTGTTAATACATAACTGCGAATTTATTTTTGACTACACGTGTAAACGAATACATACATTTGACTGTAAATCGCTTCTGTCCAGACAGCTTCAATATAACAAATGACAAATCTGTTTCATAATAATACAACCCGTTAAGATCACAGCGTTGGGGTGGATGGCATTTAGGCAATATTCCAGCAATATTCAAGACGGCAGGAACCATCAGAATTTGCCTCACATTATCCGTGGTGAATCCAAACCGCGATATCCAGCGCGACGACAGATCTGTCCACAAAGTGCCAACGCCCCAAACTGTATGTCTAGGAGTATTATGGAAACGATATGATAAAACTAGTAGGTTAAAAAATGAATATTCCACAGAGGGCGGCCACGGCGAAGACAACAAGCGTCAGGACGTACAAGGCCAGCATGATGACGTTCACTTTCGACGGTTGATGTGTCTTTTCTTGAATACTTAGACCTTTCGGGTCAGTGATGTTTCCACTCCCTGAAAGACGCAAATAAACGATTGATACGTCAAACGAAACACCCAAAGGTACACCTGCATTATTAACAGTAATGGTTGTGTTGATTATATGACTCTGCACATTGATCTGTGTTCATGAGAGGCCCTTTGTCAAGTCAGACCCAGGTTGTTGCGCGCCGTAACAGTGTATATTGGGGACGAAGTCACGTCGTACCCCGTTTTGTCTTATGTGTTGTAAAATGGTGTACATCTCTAACGGATCTCTAAAGTATCCAGACATTTCATTACAATTTGTGTAAAATCAAGGAACTTTGCTGGTCTGAATTTGAACTAGATCATATTTCCATAAAATCGTTGTGACTGCACTTCGGTTTAAATAAATATCTAATCCAAGGAAATCCCCAAAGTATACGTTAATGCTACTCCTATAACGGTATAACTGTTTAATTGTGCAATGGTTTTGTTGTGGGTTCACTATCGTATCATAACATGTTCGAATAGAAAACAAAGGTTTTACATTGCTTCACGTGACTGTTTGACTGCCATTTTATAAGTTGGTGAGTAAATAAGAAAACGTTCACTGTATACACAAGTTCTGGTTTATTGCATATAGCGACTTTCATCCAATTATATCTTTGCTACTTATTATTATTGTTGACAGTGCTGCTTATCACAACATATCATGCATATCTACCTCTCATCACTTGGTTGTCACTCCAGCTTTATAATGGTGTAAGAATCTACATCGGAACGACTTTATATGCAATACACTGGAAGTTGTTATGCATGATCACGTTTTCTTATGGCATCACGCACTTCTGATAACTGTTAGATTGCATAGTTACCTGTTGATTGTTTTTTCCTGCAAGTCCAGAACTCAAAGACCAGCTCCCAGACTATCTGCACAGCGATCCATACAGCCACGACGATGGTTCCGTACTGTTTCATTGTCTCGGGTATGTAGTTCATATTGAACGCCAGGATGAAGTTCACGGCTGCAGGGAAACAAATATCAACGTTTTAGAAGAGACAGGTGTATTTAAAATCACTGATATTTATAGTAAATCTGTAGGAAGGCTATGTTGGTACGCATACACAAATTGTTTGCGCTCAGTACCCATACAAAACTGAGTCATATGTCAACTACATTCTGTACGTGACAACCACCAAGTATCCCCACCCCAGCCTCAATGGAGACGCCTCATTATAGGTGAAATACTTTTTATATCTTATAGCCATTGGTCATATTCAAATACAGTCTTGATATGTGTATTAACTTAACAAGCGGGATTTAGAAATGATTATTCCACCACTGATCAAATTTTTGTTCTACAATCCCCATGTCAGAAATATCTCAGAAAATCAAACCACAGATTTTATGCCTGTTTCATAGACTTTAGATAAGCCTTCGGCTATGTAGATAGAAATAAGTTGTTATATGTGTTATTAAATAGAGGTGTTCATGGTAAAATGTTTATTATCTTTAGAAACATGTTTGAAAATATAAAGCATGTGTAAGGGTTGAAGATGTGAAAACACGTCTTTTTAACACAACAAGTGGTGTTAGACAAGGATGCATGTTGAGTCCTGTTCTTTTTATACATTTTGTAAACGAGTTTATTGGGGGATTCGTGGTCTAAGAGGCATATTTGTGAAAGATAATTTTGATGAAATCCTGTTGTTATTACTATTTGCTAATGATGTCACTCTTGTTGATGATTGTGCAATTGGACTGCAGAGAAAACTAGATGCTTTAGACTCTTATTGTGACAAACGGGGCCTTGAAGTTAAAATGTCATAGTTTTAGAAAGGGTGGTTATCTGAGGAAAACTAAGAAATGGTTTTATAAAGGTTCGCAAATTGAAGTTGTATCATATTTCAATACCTTAGTCTACTATTCTCTTCAAGGGTTGTTTGGACCAAAGCATGTGATACACTAGCTATTCAAGCAAGGAAAGCGACCTTTCCCGTGTTAAATATGATAAAGAAATTCCCATCTCTCCCATTTTCTACTGCTGCTAAAATATTTGATTTAAAGGTTACCCCTGTTCTTTCATTTGGCTCAGAAATTTGGGAATGTGCCTATAGAAAAAGCATTGAAAAGGTTCAGAGTAATTTCTTTAAAAGTGTTCTTTCCGTTAAAAGAACATCAACAAATGCAATTCTAGGAGAGCTGGGAAGAACATCATTGTGTGTACACTATAACAGTAGTTGTATTAAGTACTGGTGTCGACTACTTAGATTACATGAAACAAGATATTCGTATGCCTGTTATCCATATGTTAAAAGCATTTGACGGAAATGGTGAAACAAACTAGGTTTCTTACACAAAACAAGTATTGTTTCAAACTTGGTTTTCATATGTCTTATTGTCTCAGGATAGCGGCGATATGAAATGCTTCGTGGTTATATTAAAACAACGATGTAAAGATATAGAATTCCAAAACTGGCATTTCAAAATCACCAATTCTTCTTTCCTTGATGTTTATTCATCTTATAAATCATTACTCGAACCAGAAAAATAACTGTCTACTTTAGCAAAGAGATCTTCTTGGAGCTTTATGTAAATTCCGTTGTTAAAGCCATAATCTAAATGTACAGAAAAATCGATTTAATACAACCACAGAGTCATCGTTTAGTTTATGTATGAAATGTAACCGCTATGAAATAGATAATGAATACCATATTTTGTTAATTTGTCCTTTTCATAAAAGTAGTAGAGAAAATTTTATTCCAAAATGTTACCATGTGCCACCATCTGTTCCAAAATTTATCAGTCTTCTATCTACCAGAAATGATTCTTTTTACTTATTAAAAACCTGTCCATATATTTAAATATACATTTACCTATGTAAATACAAACATAAAAAATATGAACGTTTGTTGTAAGAAAATATGTGTATGTGCATAGCATATATTATTCGTGTAAATGAACTCTGTATGTGGCCTTCATTCATGAATAAACTTCTTCTTCTTCTTGTGAGCTTAACCATACTAAATTATTAGGAAGTTTACCTAAGTCATGTTGAAACGAATCTTCTGACAACAATACCTGACAAAATGTGTGCCCCCTGGCCCAGCAGACGGTGCCCCCAGGTGAAGAAAGGGCGGATACTCGAGTCTACCCCGGGTCTCAGCAAACCACCCAGAACCTGCAGACAGACTGCCACACCGACTGTGATCCCAATGATGGCGTGTGTTCTTCCCGTCTACGAAAAAGAAGAAAAAATCTTTATGTTTCATGATTACCAACGAAAACACAGTAGAAGGTGACACCTGGCAACAGACAAGATCGGGCACGAATATGGTACCGACAAACCAAGGTTCATTATATACTCTGTGATACGAGGTCATGATCAGTGATGTCGGTCGGGTAAGGGACGCCACGTTGCTCGACGAATTCCGCCGCCTTACACCACTGTGTCAAGTGTGCCTTACGTTCAGTTATGCAATAAAGAAAATCGTAAGAGTCTCATATTCTACGTTTGCACAGGCAATATATTAAGAGATAACACCTGCGACTTCGTAAATTAGAGGGGCAGTGGGGTAGCATAGTGGTCAAGGCGTTCGCTCGTCACGCCGAAGACCCGGGTTCAAATCCCCACATGGGTACAATGTTACAATGTGTGAAGCCCATTTCTGGTGTCCCCCGCGGTGACATTGCTGGAATATTGCTAAAAGCGACGTAAGACAATATTAACTCAGTCACTCCCTCGTGAATTAGAATGCAGTATGAGATTTGTAGGACAAGATTGTACCGAATATCATTTGTCTTCTAACCTGGTACGAGTTGTAGCAATGTTGCGTATTCAAATATATTTTGCAGCGCAAATAAACGTTAAAAGGCTTATGCTTACGCCTTCAGAGAGTTTGTCTACTTTGACAAAGATGATGATGAAGCTGGCGACAGTCAAGGCAAGGATACCGACAGCAATTGCTCGGTGAAGCTGGAAGTAGAGAAAGACATCTGTCACATATATCCAAAACCATCAAACTGGTATATGATATTACACCCTTAGGCGAACATAATATTTTAGGAACAAAGCCCTGATGAGATTGTCCTACCATGAAAATAATCTTCCTCGTATTATTGATATTCAGTGTGTTACTACGTACCTCGAATGTGCCAAATGTATTGCAAAAATATACAATGAATCACAACTTTCATCCCAATATAACCCATGCCATGTCTTACCTGAAACCATATTTTGGTGCCACAGAACATCTCGTCTTCATACAGGTCCTTGTAGTGCCTGGCAATGACAGTAGCAAGACCAGCCAACAGCATCCAGGCGATGATCATCGTGGCGCCTGGAACACACGTTTGCAAATGTTGTCATGTTGATGCAACTGCAATGTATACCTATGCGACGTACGTACAATACTAGTATGTTTCATTATAACATTAGCATGAAAACTCGTCAGTTCTGTTCGGTTCAGGATAAGCATGTTTGTGGACTTATTCGTATGAATGCCTCTGTGATGTACATGTAATAAGAGAATGTTTCATTACTACATTAACATCACAAATAAAACAGTTTCGTGCAAACATGTTTGTGGACTATTAACAAGACAAGGAATATTGAAGGTAAAAATATCCACCCACGGTGGCGCTTTATATTATTATCCATCTTCCGGAGGCAAGGGAATTAACTGAATATCGAAGTCGAATTTCTACCCTTGCCAAACTAGGCTGGAAATTCGTGGCTCGATCGTAGCGCCACCAGTGGCTATTACGAGTTATGTCCCTTCTATGTTCCTCATATTGACCAATCATACTCCACCTCTGATATCGCTTGCATTTGCTTCAAACAAAATGAAGGCGCCTTGTCAAAACGATTTGATCGATAATCAGAGTCCCTATTGTCATAAAACGGGTTTTACCCCGCGAAGTGCTTCAGATCATTTGAGCATGTTGATTACAAACATGAAACGGCTTGGACACTGACGGTACATGCTTTAAAATCCTAAAATCGATCGAAATCAGCACGGAAGGCGCCATGTTTTTACGAACCGGATATCGATTTCGTGACGCGATTTTTGATTGGACTATGCCTTAGCACGTTGCCAGCCTATGTGTAACATATAAATTCCAGTCAGTTCGGCAAAGGTTGAAACTGAACTTTTTAGTCCAGCTCCAAACACCACCACCATATAGATTGTATAAATATATCACAAACGTTTTGTTTGTTGGTTTGTTTTTAAACGCCACACCCAGCAATATTCCAGCTAATTTGTCGGCGGTCTGTAAATAATCGACATCATGACATTAAAACTGACATTTAACCACGCAATTGGGATACGATGACATGCATCAACCAAGTCAGCGAGTCTGACTACCTGATACCGTTTGTAGCCTCTTACGACAAGCATAGCCGCCTCTTACGACATGGGTTGCTGACGATACATTTTATGCCGGATGTTCACGGGTATTTCACATACGTTTACAACTATAAAGAGGGGTGTAGTATTGTCAGTTTATTCGTTGAATACATGTACAGTTGCAATGCACTACAGCAATGATTTTCACTCTAATTAACACCACATCGCATATGCCCTCATTGGGTTACTGGCAATAAAAGATATTAATTATATAACTTAGACTTTGGAGGCCTTACATGTAAATACCATGCGTAACTGAGTGAATGTGTACTTTCACAGCCGTCAGCAATACTTAAATTTGTTTCTTTTGTACATTTATCCTACCTATTGTGAACATATCAAACTTTATATCAATTCATCTGATGAAAGGCCCCTGAAACATCGACACCAAGAATGATGTTGTTATCCATAAAGAAAAGTGGCACTTGTTCATCATCTGTCGGGGCGGTCGGGTAGCCTAGTGGTTAAAGCGTTCGCTCGTCACACCGAAGACCCGGGTTCGATTCCCGACATGGGTAAAATGTGTGAAGCCCATTTCTGGTGTCCCCCGCCATGATATTGCTGGAATATTGCTAAAAGCGGCGAAAACCATACTCACTCACCCATTCATCATCTGTCATAATTCGTTTCGAAAATACGCGCCGGAAGTGAGGGAGTTGTTCGTAACAGTTTCTAATATAGCCCATAGTATTATGTTTGGCCAGTGGTTGATACAAATAATGGGCACCGGTAACAACAGGTAATATTGTAACCATCCAATCATCGATCCTGCAAAACATATGCTTTGATGGATGGCAATACTCATTTAAACTTACCATGAGCCTGGTACTCCTTAGACAGGGAAGATCCTTTGTAAATTTCATAAGCCTGAAAGTCGATCATGACGTCTGATACTGCTGGACTTTCCCTGTGCTTGCCCATGACGTCAGTCCCTGGAACAATTGGGCTTCATTGAGAATAAGGGCGATAACAACATTTCCATAATCACAATAAACCCCTGTCAGTAGATCTCTGCCACTGAGCAATTCCGACCAAAGGATGCGTATGTGTTTGTGAATTACTACCAAATAGTGATGGTACCAGGTGTTTGCGAAAAAAGCGTATCCTGCCCCACCGAGGAACTCGTCACAAACACCTGCAAATGCCATCCACGTGTCTACAATAAAAAGTCTTCATGTGTTAGAGTTAATACATGTATTTTAATTTATGGTGTATACATATTATTATATCCTCTACAATCGTGTATCATAGGCATAATGCATACACATTACCCGGTTTTGAAGTGAAGACAGATGCATTGCCACTTGCATCTTGTTGGTGCCAGGCAACAACTACGTCACAAGAAGCCATAAGTCGTTAAAGTGTTTAACAATGTTTGTCTCGCTCTACGGTTGTAAATATGGTTGGCAGGTGAGATGACCCCATTCATCGAAGGGTAATGTACAATGCCGTTAACGTCACCTCATATCATGAGGTGCATCCACTTGGGGTCGGGATGATGGGGAAGGTTTTATCCCTGCATGGACGCAATGCAAGTGCAAACGAAAACATTGTTGCTATTGGATATTAACAGGCCACTATCAGTGTAAATGCACCACAGATGATGGACCCAGTTCCAAAAAGCGATCGTTGCGCTACGTCTATGTTAAAGTATGGGAGTTACGATAACTTTAGCGCTACGATAGCTTTGTGGAACGGTCCCCGGGAAAACATGTCAATTGTCATTTTAGACGGATAAAAACAAGAGGATGATATATGAATCGAAACGTCAATGTCCTTGTGCCTCCTCGTACAGCTGGAAAGAAAGGCTCGATTGAGTACTAATATTAAAACATGCACCAGTGCAAGCTATTATTGCAAATAAGCATGCCCTAGTTAACCAACGGCATGTACAAGAAAAGCAAATATTTATCTCTTACTTATCCACATAACATACGTTGAACACACTCAGTACGTCTAAGCTGTATTTACCATACTACATTACTAATCCCTGTGTTGTGAGTAATTCATGACACATGACGATCACCAGAGATCTGAGATGTTACTTTTGTCGAATACTTTATGTCTCGACTTTGATAAATTTATGGGAGTAAGGTGCAACCTGGTTATGTCTGGTGCAGCTAAGTTTTCATGTCAACATAAACATAAAAGTTAAATCAAGTTCCTTAAATCGAGTCCTGAAAATAAGACCGCAATTTTACAAAACGTACAGATAATAAAGAGTATCCACAGTTCTATCTCAATGATCAAACAATATGTTTTTGATATAGAGAGATTAGAGAGAAACGCGATGGAGTAGGATCCTTGTGAGCACAAGGGACATAACTCTGCACAACGAATTACGGCTCTTGGGGTGTGGCAAGTGACAAGTCTTGAACAGTCGCTGTTTTCGACCAACATCACAATGTACAGGGTTATTGTTACAGGGAGGCTTCTTTATTATTGATCGGATCCGAAGTGAAATTCCTTCGTCACCCGAACATACTCCAAAATGGTTATTGCCTAGCCACATAATACTGCTGCTGCTACAACTACTGCTGCTATGACTATTAAAACGACCATTGCTGCTTCTGACTGTTCTACGTTTTCTGTTATAATTGCTGCTGCTACTACGACAATGTCCTTCCACATATACTGATAGAGCTACTACAACTACTAACTTCTGCTTCTAGTTCTACTTCTACTACTACTACTACGACTACTACTACTACTACCAACTACTATCAGTCTTGCTTCTACTGCTACTACAACTAAAATGTCTGTACTATTACTACAACTATTACTCCTACCATGTCACTAAAACGACAAATACTTATACTATAATTTCTACTACTACTTCTAAAATTGCTGCATCACACTCCCACAATACTCGCTCATATAACTAATCTGAGTCTCACCCACAGGAAGGTGGCCCCAGGCCAACTACTACTACTACTACTACTACTACTACAAAAACGCCTACATCACACTCCCACAATACTCGCTTATATAACTAATCCGAGTCTCACCCACAGGAAGGTGGCCCCAGGCCAACTACTACTACTACTACTATGACTACTACTACTACTACTACTTCTACTACTACTACTACTACTACAAAAACGCCTACATCACACTCCCACAATACTCGCTTATATAACTAATCCGAGTCTCACCCACAGGAAGGTGGCCCCAGGCCAACTTCTACTACTATTACTACTACTACTACTCCTACTACTACTACTACTACTACTACTACAAAAACGCCTACATCACACTCCAACAATACTCGCTTATATAACTAATCCGAGTCTCACCCACAGGAAGGTGGCCCCAGGCCAACTACTACTACTACTACTACTATGACTACTACTACTACTACTACTACAACTACTTCTACTACTACTACTACTACTACTACAAAAACTCCTACATCACACTCCCACAATACTCACCCACAGGAAGGTGGCCCCAGGCCAACATTATATACGACTGTGTCTCCATGTCGAAGTTGCGAGTGTTCACTTCAGGGGGGTCAGTGAGAGGATTCGACATTTCTAACCCCAGAACACGTGGTCTTGTAAATCTACACATCACCGTGGTGGCGGTCTTCTTAACGCTGAGGTCAGTCAGGTCGTACTGGAACATAACATAAACACGGTATATATGAATGTGTATGCTCTGTCATCCCATTGCAATTGTAATTCATTAACAATGAATTGCTCTAAGTGAAGGTATGTTTGCCAATATATACTTGAACTAAATAAGAACGACAGAGCCCTTTCCATATGCATGAGAAATCTTAGAGTCCACTGTAAGAGTCCGTCTATATGATGAGCATGTGTTTAAGAATCACTATTTTATCGATATTTTATCACTATTTTAGCGATATTTTATCGCTATTTTATTATGTTGTTATGCATTCACCATTTCTTTGACAGCTCGATGATGAAATGATGTTTCTGTCACACTATAAATCGTGAAAGCTATAGCAAAAACACATGGGTTTTATAGCCAGGTGCCTATATTGCAGGACACCAATGGTCACTGGGTCTTTTACTTTTTCTACTTACCGACATAAGTCTCTCATTGTGGTACGATGGGTTATAGCCGTTCTGAACTGTCACACTGTTGTCTTGAGCGGTGCACGTTACCGTGACATCATCCCCCTAACCGTGACAGAGACACAATGAAATCATAGCTGAAATATGGTGTACATTTTCTAAAAGTAGAATGTTAAAACACGAGACAACACGATAGAGAGAAAACAACTTGTGCTGTCCTCTTACCTTAAGCTGACATAAATCTAACCCAATAAATTATAACCCAGTAGCTGACTTTTCTCAACACGATTTGAAATGTGTCTCCGTGGTACTTTGGATGTTAGCATCGTAGTCTCATCACTTTCACAACATGTACCTTCGACTAATCAATAATCATTTATTCATTTACCATTTTGGTGTCACTGGAAAATCCAAGGCTGACGTAACCAGAAGATTTCGCCATCATCTCGAATGTGTATGAGTCACCATTCCTTTGATAAGTTACAGCGGCATTACAGTCGGTGCCACTACAAAGTCTGGGGTAGAAGAAGCATCCCTTTTCTGACCCACACTGTGAAAAGTCGATGTCATCCATTTCTTGCGTTGGGTCTTCCAACTGAAATTGCGAAACCATATGTGGATGATTCGAATACTTAACTGGTAAAAATCTACAATGTATAATTAAACATCACAGTGAGATGATAATGTCCACAGTGTATTGTTTGTATCATTATATACAGCAAAACCAGGGTACTCTCCAAATGTCAGTCAACAGATAAAAGTCAAACCTAAAGCACCGAGAACAATGAGTAGCTCGATCATTTCATTACCGTCTTCGCCATGCCTGTGGTTTTGACACAGAGGTCCATCCATGGTACGCTCCACCCCATCTCCACACAGCCCAGACAGCGAATGAGACTAGTCAAACCCACCCAGAACTTTTCGGAGAATATTAAGACTCCCCAAAAATGCAGCCTTCTGCATTACCCACATTGTCAGAAGGGATGTATTCCTGGTAGCAAACCCGGGTACTCTCCCAATGTCAGTCAACAGATTGGGAGGTACCGAACCCAAGGAACCGAGAACAATGGGGAGTCAGACAACTTGGTACTTGGATGCAAGCGTGACATTTCGAAAGCGAGGTCCGCATATTTGCCATGTTTTTGCTCAATCTTGTCAATTACATTAGTGTCAAAGGGGACAGAAATTTTAATGATATAAATGATTTCATTTGATTTATCAAAAAGGACAAGATCAGGTTTGTTGGCCTGGATACGTCTGAGGCTGTAAATGGGCCTATTCCAAAGAATTTTGTATTCATCACTACATATTCCGGGTCGTACCATGGGTGGACCTCTGTGTCAAAACCACAAGCATGGCGAAGACGGTAATAAAATGATCGAGCTGCACCATCATGTCGGTTAAGATACTGTGTTTGTGCCAAAGCTGGGCATCCACTGATTATGTGTTGGACAGTCTCATGAAATTCATTACATAATCTACATTTCATGTTTACATTTTGATGCAAAATCACACACTGACGGTTTCGAGTGGGAAGTGACTGGTCCTAAGCAGCAAACAGAAAGCCTTCAGTTTCACTTTTCAGGCCAGACGACTTCATCCAAACGAAGGACTTGTTGATCTTCTCAACACATTGCACATAAACTCGATGCAGTGGTCGTTCAGATAGCCTCTCCTTTAAAAACTGAGTCTGAGCCGACTTGAAACGGCACTTCGATTATTATCATTATCGTTATTGTTATTGTTATTGTTATTATTATTATTATTATTATACCGGCCGTGCAGGTGTCACCACTGAGGAATTATCCATGGTCCGCAGCTCCTTCTTCTCCCAAGCCCAAAACGTGGTGAAATCTTTAACGAACGTTGCGCTACAAAACAAACAAAATGTGTCATGCACTAGACAGACGGACGCTTAGCAGATTACACGAATAATTGAATCGTCTTAATGCAATTTAAATTCCTTCATGGGGGAATGTGCAACTCACAGGAAGACGATGTCCCCTACGTTGTCACTCGGTGCCTGCCACACTAACACAACTTGAGTCACGGTGTTATTGTTCTTGTGGGCTATCTGGTTCTGAAAACAAGTGGAGGTTATACATTCAGTGTGTGTCGTAATGGACATATATTACGGGTGACTTGAAATACAATTGAGGTACACAAACGACGTTAATTGGTTTTGTCATTCACATTATTTGACAAACAGATTTGTTCAGGCCACATGTAGGAAATACATAGTCATTGCAAATGAATGTTTCAAGTGCACAATATATTGATAACTACACAGCTTCATTTGAATAACGTCCAGTCTATATGCAAGCCAACATTCAACATATCGTGAGTGATTGTAAATAACGTGGGATGTAAAAGATGGATCACATATTAAAGGTGATAAATGATCTTTGCATCAATAATTATTTGGGAGGGTGTCAGTTTGTATATATCTATTTGCCTTAGATTGTGTGAAAGGCGAGGTAAAAATATCGCATAAATACTAGGGCCGCACACATCCAAACCTGAGACTATGGAGTGAGTGAGTTGGGTTTAACGCCACTTCTAACAATATTCCAATTATAATCCTTGTCGCCATTTGTACCGTCAGCTATGCTACACTATCAACACTTTATGTGAATCTGTACTTACGTGACGTCCACCCATACAGTTAAATGCCTGGAGTTTGGTTTCTGGTGCATAGGACAAGAACGTTCCCTGGAATTCCTCCTTGTTAAGGGACTTTCTGTGAGCACTGATCTGGATTCCACGAAACACTTGACTGTCATCGGATTCAAGAGTAACTAGCATAACAAATAAATAAAGGTTAGGTCACAAAAGATAATTTCTCGCTTATCAAATCTTGGTTATCTAATTAATTCTACATATACTAATTTTGTAAATTTGGTTTCCTATTCTATTTTTGTGAACCTGCATTCCATTCATTACGAGTTTTTGCATTGGCGTTTTGTGTTTCGTAAAAAGGATAATACATTCAGAGGAAACGCTTATTGTGTATTTAGTGATGCCATTCTGGATTTATTTGAAAAGATAAAATTGATGCCTATTCGAGTTAAATAGCACTAAGTGTAATAATATGTCTAGGGTCGTAAGACAAGCTAGGATAGGTCCTCAACCGGTTCGTGAAACAAGCAAACACAACCATAATACCTACCAGTGATGTTTTGCAAAGGTCTATAAGTGTCGCTGGACAGATTGATCTTAAAGGGACAAGGTCCTGAAGCTTGCCACGTTAAATCCTGTCCATGCTTTGGGAACATCGTGAGGCATGTACTGCCGGGAGGTCCTCTGCCGAAGCCAGCAACTGAAATATTGCTGACAGTTGTAACACAAGAGTTGTCTAACAATGATAATCTTTAGCATCCCATGACACACATAAGTGCGTGAGTATGGTCGTACGTTGCTTCTAGCAATATTCCAGAAATATCACGCAGAGAACACAGGAAATGGGTTTCTCACATTGTACCCTTGAGGGGAACCTAAATCGGGTCTTCGTGACAAGCGAACGCGTCTGTCACACGGCTACCTCAAGGTTCCCTTGACACACATGCTTTCCACTAGACACATACACGTGCAGCGTTCGGAATTGGGTTTAAACATCTAACTGCAAGATTTGTACGTCGTAATATTTAGCTACTGACAATAAATCTTTCAAAGGTTACACACACACACACACACACACACACACACACACACACACACACACACACACACACACACACACACACACACACACACACACACACACACACACACATTCGGGTGAACAACTGGCTTGCCTTTGCATGTGCTTGTGACGGGTGCAACCGGTGGGGCAGGATACGCTCACCTTGTCGCGGACACCTCGTTTCATTACTACTTGATAGTGATTCATAAACACATGCCCATGATGTGGTCGGAATCGTACAATCGACTCTTTGTTTTTGCAGAGATTTATTAAGAATATGGAAAGGGTTTTGTCGAAGGGGTTTTCATTTTTCCCAAGAAGACGGTATCTAACCCCCTCGCATTTAACCCATTCCTGCTTACTGTATCTGATTAATGATCGGATGTTCTTAGTCAGAGCAGAACACCCTCCTTGTCTTACGAACACCTGGTGCCATCACGCATGCTTGCACTGCATGGGCTTTTAATGAGTTTGTTACATGTCGCGAACTGCTCTCTTTTAGAGCTTATTGTGGCACCGACATCACCATTTGGTTTGATTTTTTTGTTTCATAAACCTCAACTCATTCATTTGATAATCTTAGATGACGTTAAATATTCCGCTGTGCAATGACAAACATTCCAATATATATAATGCCAGGTTCAACTATGTTAACGAGGTTTACAGTCAAGATATGGGAACAAATCATTTTAGAAAATTGAAACAAGTATTTTGAAGAAAGATTTTCTAAAGTCAATATTATTAACAAAAATAACTTTACAGATCTACACGTATTTCGGAAACTACCGAAAGGTAATGAGCAGAGTTGTCGTCGCGTGATCTGACGTCGAAGTGGAGAGCTTACATGCAAACGGTCGCTGTGTCTGTACGGTAGATTATAAACGTTCGCTATACCATTACCAGGCAATGAGATCGATGAAAACGTTGAATTTTCGCCCAATGTCCTTACACATATTCGTCCATATCAGTATGAGTCCGGGGTTAGACAAACTAGAAATGACAGCAGTGAGGAAAGAGAAGTAGATCTATTGAGTGAAGACGATCAGTCTGGGGTCAACAAGGACAGACTACGGTACACAAACTGGTATTAAACGCTATCCTCACACTTCAGAATGGATGTTTATCTAATAATTTAATTTTTTGCTGTTTTGAGTCAGTTATTCTTGTTATGTAACATTTGCCAGGGGAAGACAGACGTTAACCATTGTCAAACATTGTTCCTTAAGTTGTCTTTTATTATTTTTCATGGACAGACAGACAAACAATTGTTTATTTGAGTCTCACCCCAGTAATACAGTATAAAATTTACAAACATATAAAAAACAACATAAAACGATTACTTAGGCCACTCAATACTGAGTTATAAGAGACTAAAACGTTAAAATTATGTACAGCAAACATGTATACAAATAGTAAAGAAACATCACACCTTGTTATGAATAACCGATTTACGCTTTTGTAAAATTGCATGGCAGGTTTTTGCACTAAGATTATTCATAACATTATTTGATAAAAAAAGACACTTTTTTCAACTTCGCTAAGAGTATTAAAACCAGGATACACATCACAGCACTGTGCTAAAAGAGGTTGACGCTCATCATTATAAACAGTACAATTCAATAAAACATGTATTTCATCTTCAATAAAAGTTTGGCAATTGAAACAGAACCTTTCATTTATTTAATAAATCTTCCTGTCTCAATGTTTATAGGGGCTGTAACAGATCGGAATATGGCAACTGCACTTCTGTGATTTCGAGCCACTGGTCGTAGAACATATATGTTACTGGACAGTATATGTCTTCAAGTTCACAACAGAGTCTCAACTTATTACCTCCCTTGCCTGATGAACCAACCATTTTAGAAATAGTGAGTGAGTGAGTGAGTTGGGTTTAACGCCGCTTTTAACAGTATTCCAGTCATATCGCGGCGTGTCAGCTCAATGTGGGAGGAAAGCCAGAAGTGATGCAGGTTTCAGACGTTTACCACTTCGGTGAAACCCACGAGCACAGGTATGGTGCTGACAAACCTAGAAACATAATCGGGGCGAACCGGGATTCGAACCCATAATCATAGGTTTCTGGCGTGCCCAATGGACGCAACTCTACACAGCGAATCGCGGCGCCTTAGACGACTTGGCCACCCGTGCCCCCGTTTTAGAAATGGGCGTTATGTCAAACAATGGTCAGGACATTAACAGACTATACTATAACCCCCCATTGTTCAGCCAATTTACACCTGTGTTACAACTGACTACATTTGAGCTCAAATGGGGGATGTTGAGCTTACTGGAAGCTAACCTTATCCTTGGAATAATGCGTTGTAAGTTGCAACAGCATAAACAAACATCCCATTATTTATAATGCGAGGGTTTACAGTAATTTACTTAACATACAAAATACGTTCGACGATGCTCAAGGACAATAGTAGCCCCTTTTTTAGAAAGAGCTGCTACTGTTATAAACATGTACATGTTAATCATTAGTATATAGGTCATACTGTATGCCTGAAAACAAGAAGGTGCGCAATTTTAACGTAAGACAATCATTCAATAATAACGCTAAACAATATCAAAGCAGATGAATGATTATTGTCTTACATCACTTTTAGTAATATTCCAGCAATATCACGGCGGCGGACAGCAGAAATGGTCTTCACACAGCGTACACATGTGGGGAATGGAACCCGATTCTTCGGCGTGACGAGCGAACGCTTTAACCACAAGGCTACTCAACCACCCTCAAAGCAGATGAAGCAGCGATAGGTGATGCTTAACAACTGATGGTTTTCCTCGAGGCGTAATACGATATGATAAATATCAATAAATATGATCTCAAACTAAACGAGCAATAAGTAGAATCAATACAGAAAGTAAAGAAGGTAATTCGTTGATTCTTTTTTAGATGTTGTAGTGTAATCGTAATATTGTTGAAAATAATTTATTTTGGAAATTTGGGCTGCATTTGTGGTTTGGGTTTTGCAAGAATTCAAAATACAACATATGTGGTGATGAAAGTTCTGTAACATTTAGAATTTAGCAGCTGCATCGATTCAAGGTTTGACAATTATTTAAATATATGTATGCAACCTTATGCATGTTCATGAATGAATTTTGAACTAAATCAAGGTATAGTTAGCTGAGATTTCATCAGGTTAAAATGATGTAAGGCAATCCTTGAACCACCAGGAACCGGGATGTTGCCCTAATTATACTGAGATTAGATCTGAAAACTATTATTATGTAGATGGATATGACCTTCGAACCGCCCTGTTTGGCAACGTGAGCCTAGACAAATACATACTGCTGAATACTGTTGACTCTGTAATTATTTCTTCTCTATGAGCAAACGATTTGTCTAAACAAGCACTCTTATATATGTCACCAACAACTGTTTACCTTCGATGTACCACATGTTACTTAATATCAAGTTTATACTACTGTATAACATATATACTAAGTATACTGCTGCTTATTCTAACTTGATGGGGAAAGATATTTATGTAGGCTCTGCCTTTTTTATCAATCCCCTTTCATTGTACCAAGTGGAAATAAATATTGTTTAATAAAAACTTACAGCATACATGTCTACATTAACCTCAATAAAACAGTGCTTCGTGCACTGGCTGTAGACGTGGTCACACAAGTATAAGAGCATCGATGTATCTCAATTACACAGAGGGATGAGAAGTGCACAAAAACGACAAAAACCCTTTCCATAGCGGCAAGAAATCGCTTCTGAAGCATCAAACGCATGACATTGTATACTAGTACTTCAGCTACATATTTTGCGCATTCAACTACCCTCCCTGCCAGCCATTAACATACCATTGTGATGCTTGGCCATGACACAGATACGCATTCGAAGTCAACAGAATCAGTCATCCAGTGATCTATTTCACTAAACCATGCAGTGTCCGTATACATGGTCTTGTACTAGCGTCTACCGACAGAGTTACAGAAACAGAAAAATATCACAGCTGAAAGGTTGGCGTTAGTGTGCTTGTTTCACATTTCACATTAATTAATGACATCCTGTTTCATGTAAGTGGGCGCACGGTTCAGGAATTTGTTCGTATGTTTTTGCCAGTGTGGAGCAGGATACGTTCACGTTGCCAAGAACATCCTGTATTGTTGTCTCACAAAACAGCTATCCTCAACACTTAATAAAAAAACAACCAAGGCCAATTCCCGACTGAAGTGGAATAGTCGGAGAGGGGTTCGATGGAGAGGAACAAGCTGAGAGAGATTACGCTGAGAAGGATACTCACATGTTAACTCTCATCATTGGATGGTTATTCATAAACACATGCTTGTTATATAGTAGGAATCTTACAATGACTTTCAGCAGAGATTTCTTATGAATAGGAAAATGGTTTTGTGCCTTTCATTTAAATAATGTTTGAGTATAATATTCAGGGTAACCGGTAGAAAAGAGCATGTTTGTTTGTTGTTTATCGACGCACTCAGCAATATTTATGCTATATGAAGGCGGTCTGTAAATAAACAAGTCTGGACCAGACAATCCAGTGATTGATATCATGAGCATCGATCCACGCAACTAGATACGATAACATGCACCAACAAAGTCAGCAAGCCTGACCACCCGATCCCGTTTGTCGCCACATACGCATAGTCGCCTTATACGGCAAGCATAGGTTGCTGAAGGCCATTTACGAATACGATACGTACAGTGTTACTCGTGAGTGTTGCTTTCATTTGGTTCATAGGCAGAGAAATATAAATTGACTTTGGATGAAGAAGACCGATTACTGTGCATACACAGGCACACGCAGCTAAAGAATATCTTAAATGCAATGAACAATATTAGCAAGGCACACATACCAGGAGTAGCAGTCCAAGATATAAGGCAAGCGAGAGTCAACACGTTACACAACTTCGCCATCTTTACTGTTAAGCGACACGCCCGATTTGTGTCAGCCTGGGCTCCACCTGAGAACACAGAAGGTCATGTGGTGAATGAACAAGGGAGAGGGGTGACACGATTTCATCGCTGTAGCCGGCGGGCTTTATTAGCTAGCCAATGCATCGTCTCAACTGAGACAGTGATTACACGCATGCGCCTTTTACAGCCGAGCGAGGACATGTTTAGTGTCAGACGCTGTATGCCGTTAAAGGGTCTTTATGTGTGGATTACGCTTACCACTCTCAATGCAGTACTGACAGATTGTTGATACTGAATGAAAGGTGTCCGTTCAGTACGGTACATGTGTAACTCCCATACAGTCATTCACATACATTTACGACAATCGAAGCCCTTCAATCGCTCAGTGGAACGGGTTGTCGTAAATCTATGACCCTGACGTACAATCGAGAATGCTCTTTCTACGAAGATGTCAAAGAGCGTTATATGTACAGCTCTTTCTCAGAAATTGTTTGATCAGGGTTACAACATTCAAGGCCTTAGTAAAGTGTCAAAAGGTTTTATGGTAGAAATATGGATGACATACAGTTCCCAATTTATTGCATCACTGACCAAAATAATAGCCGGTACTATTTCCTATTTCCACTCGTATCATATTTACTCGGGTTATTTTAAGTGAACAATCGACTTGTCTTTGCATATATTTGAGACAGGTGCCACCGGTGGGACATGATACTCACCCTTTTGCAAAACACGTGCACATGGGCCCATTCGCACAAAGCGATCTTAGCGCTAAGATGATCGTAACTCCCATACTTTAGCTTAGGCTTACAATAGTCTTAGTGCTAAGATCGCTTTGTGAAAGTGGGCCCTGGTATCATCACTATTATATAGTGATAAACACGTGCTCATGATATAGTCAGAATTGTATAATTGGCAGTTTTTAGCAGAGATTTCTCATGACAACGGAAAGTGTTTGTCGCTTTATGGTCACATCCCGGAGTGAAGAAGATGACTTATGGCGAGAAACAAGTTATATAAGCTATATCTGATATAGAGTAACGAGTTTCCATTGAAGGTCTGAGTGAACATATCTGCGCTGACCTGGAATAAATCTTTCTTTGTCTGTCCCACATCGGGGTATGCGTTCAGAATGAGTGTCAGATGTGCATAGCTATGACAACAACCCACGGCCCGGGACACCATTTTCACAGATGATAAAATTGCATAAGATACTCCAAGATCTAACATGGAATTGTGCCATATATTACGCAATAGCGGCTTACGCGGGGCATGCGTACATTTAGTAAACAAGGAACATATGGAGGACGCGTCAATCAGGAAGGATCGCTTATGTCACACACACACAAACACGGTCGTGTGACGGCGAGGTTTTCAGACTGTCCCGGTTGCCGCGGTGACATAGTGTTTTTTTCAAATTTATAAATTTTCTAACAACCTGATACGGAATAAATTTGTTCCAGTTATGTGTTTAACCAGCGCACACGGTAGCTTAATTATTTAAGAAATGTGTTACCTACGTAATTATCGACCGTACCACGCTTTTTGACACGGAAAAAGCATTAATGTATTCTCATCATTCATGGTGTTCGTCAAACAGAGATTTTATTACTACTTCTTTCAATAATTGGCCCTTCCCCTTCGACCGTCCTCTGCGCCATTGCTATTCTCAGTTTAGATCCTTAAAGTGTGTGGTAACCTAGTTAGCCTGTGGCATTCTCCCATGCGGAAACATGGGTCCAGGGCCTAAATAAAACAACAAAACCTTTCATATTCATAAGAAATCTCTGCCAAAAGCAGCGTTGATTGTACGATTACGAATATAGCATGTGTTTACGCATCACGATCATGGATATCCACTATCCACCTTTCTCTGACACCTGTAGACTAACATCTAGACTCTTAAATGAACATATCGTACAGAAAAGAAAAGTTGTTAAATTATCTTAATAAAATAAATTAATAAAAAGGAGCCCAGACCTGATACTTCAGAAATCTAGACTTGCCAAACATTATAGACTTGCATGGACTGTATTTGATATATTTGTATCAGGGTCTGTAAGACAGACTAGGACACCTGGTATCATCACTATTTTATAAATCACTTTTTATCAAATAGTGATTATACCGGGTGTTTGTGTAGAGGTGGGCGTATCCTGTCCAACACGTGTCAGTACAGAAGTACAGAATAAATTCTGTCTGTCTAACTTCAATATCAACAATATGGTGCACATTTGTTGACAGACAGGAATGTTTATAAATGAGGAATACTCAGTCTTACCTTAAAGAACGGTGTTCCGCTTCGCGCCAAATGATTTGGTAGTCCAGCTGTTAAAGTGCCCACTGGTAGCGAAGAGGCTCCAGGTTGGGATCTCTACGTAGAGTGTATGATATCAATTCTTTTCACCTTCGGAGGTATAACTGGAACCCAAGACACAACCTAAATGCACTCAACTCACTACATTCACACTCGATTTAATTCTACGTGCACAGTGCCAACCAAAAACACTACACTTCTACGAAGTTGTAAGTCGAATATTCCGAGACGCCTTACCTTGCATAACCGGTCCTGTTAGTGCAACCGGATTTGTGTTATAACGCCCAGCGGCTGTTGACGTCATTCCCCGGCATCTCTCTTCAGTTCAGTTCATTTTGTATCCTTATACCCACCAGCCTTGTTCAGCAATGACTCGGCGAAATAAGGGGTCACATGTGTTATATTTCTGCTGCTCCCGGATCAACGGGAGTCACGTGACCTATCATTCTTAATGCCATGTTAGCAAAAGCTTTGTGCAGTTTTATTAGAACTGGTCCACGATCCACAAAGCGACATTTGCTACGACTGTCTGTGTTACCCTAATATTAACATTATCTCTCTTGTAACAAATGTTATGTTTGGGATAACACTTTCTAAGTGGCACGGCTCCCATGTACGAGAATCAGTATTTTACTGAGAGTGTTATCCTAAATATAACATTTGTTACATTTGACCACTTTCTAAATGGCATTGGGTGTTCATAGCCAGCGGCCATGGGAGCCGTGTCAGTTTACATTTGTTAGACGGTTACGCAAAGTACGTGATCTAATCAATCAGTTGTCGGACTTTCGTTTTTGTGGGGGGAGGCACGGTTGGCCCAGTCGTCTAAGGCGCCGCGATTCGCTGTGCAGAGTTGCGTCCCTTGGGCATGCCAGGAACCTATGATTGTGGGTTCGAATCCCGGTTCGCCAGATTATGTTTCTAGGTTTGTCAGCACCATACCCTTGCTCGTGGGTTTTAAACGTCTGAGACCTGCATCACTTCGGGCCTTCCTCCCACATTAAGCTGACACGCCGTGATATAACTTGAATACTGTCAAAAGCGGCGTTAAACCCAACTCACTCACTCGTCTTTAAGGAAGCCTCGGTGGCTGAGTGGGTTAGATCGCTGACTTTGTGTGCAGGAGATTTGGTGTCTCACTTGGCAGTGTGGGTTCGAATACTGGTTGGGACTCAAGCCAAAAAAGTACGAGAATCTGTACTTTACTAAGAAAGTGTTACCCCAATCATAACATTTGTTACATTTCCCCACTTTCTAAATGGCATCGTCTGTTCACTTGTCTCTGTTGACGATGCATTGGTCGTTACTGATTGGCCTAATTCTCTTCATGGCAATGTTGCACTGTTTGCTCAAACCTGACATGAACAGCTCCCATGACCAGTTCGTGACTTGGGTAGTATGTCAACACTGTTGCCGGGATCCACAACTGAATAATATTTTTCAACACATTTAAAATCTGTCTGTCTGTGCTTTAGAGCAGGTCGTGTTTCCAATAGGAATTTATGCAGAACAAACACGACCAAGTACAAGTTGTGCGGTGGCACGGGACTGTCAGAATTTCGTAAAGCAATCCACGATGTTGTTGTCCCATTATGGTATCGTCCCATTATGGTTTCTACTCGTGAATAATTTTCTATTTTAGGTGGCTGGCCTGTCACGCGCTGACAGTCCTTGTGTTGTAATATGCCGGGGTGAAATGGGCTTTAACATCGCGGTCAAGGTTATTGCACTCTCAGAGGTGAGGTGGGGTGAAATGGGGTTTGACGTTGCGTCCAAGTTAATTGCACTTATATAGCGACGTGCATGCACGTGTGTGTGTGTGTGTGTGGCTGCTTGTACTAGACCGGACTGATGCCGATTTATAGTGCTAGCTCACGGAGATACCTTGCCGCAGTTTACCATGAATACCCCACTCAGACACAGTATACTGACTCCGAGCCGACCAGTCCTTGTTTTAGCCCCTTAATGCCGAGCGCCAGACAGGGTAACAACAAGTACCATCTTTTAACGTCTTTTGGTATGACGCGGCCGGGGATCGAACTCCGGACCTTCCGCTCCCCGGGCGGACGCTCTACCACTAGACCACGGAGGCGGTCTGCACGCTCAGAGCGACGTGTGTGTGTGTGTGTGTGTGTGTGTGTGTGTGTCTGTGTCTGTGTGTGAGTGTCTGTGTGTGTGCGTCTGTGTGTGTGCGTCTGTGTGTGCGACTGCTTGTAGTCCGGATTAAATGCCGTGATAACCCACTGAGATGCCCTCCGAGCCGACTAATCCATATTTTGTCCCTTCATACCGAGCATCAGGCAGGATAATAACAATTATAAACCTACTGGCTGTTTGTGTAACTCGATATGTAGTTTTTGAAATTGTGGTAACACCTCGTAGGAGGGCTTACAATCATTTTATAAACCTACTGGCTGTTTGTTTAACTGATTACTCGATATGGAGTTTTTGAAATTGTGGTCACACCTCGTAGGAGGGCTTACAATCATTTTATAAACCTACTGGCTGTTTGTTCAACTGATTACTCGATATGGAGTTTTTGAAATTGTGGTCACACCTCGTAGGAGGTATTACAACGATTGTATTACCTCGCAGGAGGGCTTACAATCATTGTAAACCCTTGATAGAACAAAAACTACGAACAGCCAACGAGACGCACGTGCAGATTTCGCACCGTTTCGAAACCCACGTGCTGAGGTCACCGGTTTCATTCAACCGAGTTCACGACTGCGGGCGATATTTCATCTCCGATACAGGTTATACATTTGAGAGTTTTTATTACAGTTATTTAATTAAACACGTTCTCTATTCGATGAATCGGTTTATAAGTTTAACAAAACCATTTCTCCTCGGGATTACCAGCGATTGTAAACCCTGACATTCGGTGACATACCTCATGTCAGGGTTTACAATCGCTGGTAATCCCTCGTTGAAATGGTTTCTCCTATACGTACAACCTTCTTCTGGTCTTCTGGTATGACGCGGCCGGGGATCGAACCCACAACCGCCCGCTCTCCGTGAGTACATCACGTAAGAGCTTGTTGATTGAAAAGTGTGACGGTCACTTACAAATGCCCGAATACTCCTAACTAATAAAAAGATATAGTATTAATATGTCTTTGTTGTTTTACGCCGCACACAGCAATATTCCAGCTACATGACGGTGGTCTGTAAATAGTCGAGTCTGGACCAGACAATCCAGTGGCTGATGCCATGAGCATCGATCTATGCAATAAGGACACTATGATGCATCAACCAAGTCAGCGAGCCTGTCCATCCAATCCCGTTCGTCGCCTATTACGACTAGCAAGGGTTGCTGAAGATCAAGTCTAACCCGGATCTCCATGGGTCAATAGAAGAAGACGAAGAAGAAGGAATACCTGGCCTATAAACCTGACGTTTTTTGTTTTTTTAATATTTTTATATGAATCCAAGAAGATCATTTACATCAGTGTCCCTTTTGACACTAATGTGATTGACAGGATTCAGGAAAAACATGGCAAATATGCGGTTACAACGACAATATACATAATGTGTATTATTACTGTCTAAATAATGTTCAACACGTTGTTGTTGTTGCATTAAGTGTTTAGGAGGTCGCCTTCTGCCTAGGCAATTTCGGCTGACCTGTCCCTCTTTGGGACTCCTGTGTGTGAGTAGGGTACACCTATCTATTGTGAGTTTGGTGTTCACATAATTTCAACACGTAAGAACAGAAGACTTTAAATAGGTTACGTCTCACCCGCACAGTCATGCTCCGGTATTGACATACGGTTCGCACGCCTTCAGTCCGCGTTGCCACTGTTTATATAGTACTGCACTTGTGTTTACAATGGGACGTTGTTTCAGTCAAGATTCTGAACCCAACATGACTCAACACATTTAAAATCGTGATGAAGTAACTCGTTATAGCGATAAAACAGATTAACTGGTTTTGTCATGAACCGTTGCACCGAACTGGGCAGTGCACACTTGTACGTCGAATAATGCTGAAGCCGCAACGTCCTCTCTCTCTCTCTCTCTCTCTCTCTCTCTCTCTCTCTCTCTCTCTCTCTCTCTCTCTCGTTTACGCATTAAACGGCGGATCTCATTGTTCATCCACGGATTGCCCTTACTCTTTACCGTAATATTTTTATTGGGGATGTAAACGTCGTAGCTTTTACAAAGTATTGAATTGAATTCTGTAATTGCATCTTCTACTCAATTGCTCTGAATTAACTCTTTCCCGTCATTACCATTGAGATCTGCTGATAGGTCGTCAACATCGATAAGATTATAATTAAATATATTTCTAGTATATGCAAAACATTTTGGTTTAGGTATATTAATTCCTACGTACACTGGTCAATGATCACTACAAACAGGGTCAAGCACATCGAAGGTCGTTACAATACTATAACGTGAAACAAAGATCAAATCAAGTAGCGTACTAGAATGGTAGGTTATGCTAGTTGGCTCAGGGATTATCTGTTTTCAACCATATGTTAATTGTAGATATGCCTTTTTTTGTTTATTTACTTCAAGAAAATCGATGTTAAAATCTCGTGTTATACTTGTATCAATATTAAGATCTATGGCATTACCTATAGATGTGTCAATGAGATCCCAGTATGAGTTGTTTTTGTCTGCTCTACAGAAATTTCCAATTAATACACTACAATTTTTGGATATGACCTGGACCCACGTGTACAAAGTGATCTTAGCGCTAAGATGATCTTAACACCCATACTTTAACATAGGCTTACGATAGTCTTAGAGCTTTGTGCAAGTGGGCCCCTGGGTCCATAGAGCCTCAAGTCCAATTATAGTTAATTGGTCCATGTGTTTAACGTGTAAACTATTCCTGACATATATTGCCCCACCACCTCTAGTGTTCCGATCAAGCCTAAACGGTAAATGATAGCCAGGAATAGAGACTTGGCTATCCGGAATGCCAGGATGTAACCACGTTACTGTTATACAGACAATATCATGGTATTGAAACTCAATAGCTATGAGGTCTATCTTATCCTTATGACTGCGTACATTTAGTTGAACTATGTTCAGATCTGATAGTCTATGAGGGCTTGGGTTTGGGTGGATATCTCCACAGCAGAGTAACATAATCATTTGTAGGATAGCGTGGTAGAGAAGATGTGATGTATATAGAATACCCGCATTACAAAAAATGTAAACAATTATGGAATGTATGCGTGTTCTTTGAGTACATGGCTGGTGTAAATATGTCCACCGACTGCCTGTAATGTACAATATCAACCCCCATCGTCGAAGTTCATTTCAAGCCAAGTATTATAATTATACAGACAGACAATCGGTGATTGGAAGTGAAAATGTGAAGAAGTCTTCAAAAATACATTTAGAAATAACAGTGATGATAAACAAGGTAATATTTGCACAATAGGGACAGTAAAACACAAGGGTTTGCTGGGGAAAATGTAAGTGATATATATTAGTAAATTGAACAGTAAGAATTAAGGATAAAATCAAAGTCACCATAGTTTGGTGTAGAGTAATGAGAAACTGAGAGGGGGAAATAATATAAGATATGTTTTCATAACAGATTGTGGGAACAGAAGTAATAGATAAATATAAAACAAACATAGATAGATAAATAAAATAATAATATGAAGATTATGTCCATAGTCATCAATAAACAGAGCTCACGCCTGGGGCAAGTGTAGGTTCTGGCACACCTGGGTTAATTTGCACGGACTCGGCACGTGCACATGGACTAACTACTGTGTGTCGCACACCTGGCCAATTTGCACGGACTCTGAACGTGCGCATAAAATGAACAGGCCACAACGGCGTAATCAAAATTAGCCTTCTAACAGGTTGTGATATCCTTCGAATTTCAAGTAATATGCACCAAATTAAAGATTAAGAACATGATGGAGCAAATGTTCATGCGGACCATATCCAGGTTAGTTAAGAGTTTATCTGCTGATAAGACCAGAATACTAGGAATTATACTATGCGCCGCGTTTGAAGATACATAGTAGTATAATATGGGTTGATGATGCACATTGTATACATAGTTAAGTATGCAAAGCTATACCGAGTTAGAACGGCTGGTGAAGGGCAATAACGTCACATAACAAAAAGTAGCCTTCTTGTAACAACTGCCATAACGCATAAGCCACGGAGTGTCATATGGGTGGGTCCCCTCCTCACACGATGTTGACCTATACATTCGAGTACAATGGTAAACACACAATATACATTGTAATATATCAACTTGGATTTTATAGGTCACCATATCACACGTTCAAGAACAATGTAAACCCCCCAAAATACATTGTAATATATGAACGTTGATTTTATAGATCGCCATGTCACCACATCACACGTTCGAGTACAATGGTAAACTCACAATATACATTGACATACATAAACGTTGATTTTATAAGTCACCATGTCGCCACATCACACGTTCGAGTATAATGGTAAACCCCCAAAATACATTGTAATATATAAACGTTGATTTTAATAGGTCGCCATGTCACCACATCACACGTTCGAGTACAATGGTAAACTCACAATATACATTGTAATATATGAACGTTGATTTTATAAGTCACCATGTCACCACATCACACGTTCGAGTATAATGGTAAACTCACAATATACATTGTTATATATTAATGTTGATTTTATAAGTCACCATGTCACCACATCACACGTTCGAGTATAATGGTAAACTCACAATATACATTGTAATATATAAACGTTGATTTTATAAGTCACCGTGTCACCATATCACACGTTCGAGTATAATGGTAAACTCACAATATACATTGTTATATATTAATGTTGATTTTATAAGTTACCGTGTCACCATATCACACGTTCGAGTATAATGGTAAACTCACAATATACAATGTTATGTATTAATGTTGATTTTATAAGTCACCATGTCACCATATCACACGTTCGAGTATAATGGTAAACTCACAATATACATTGTTATGTATTAATGTTGATTTTATAAGTCACCATGTCACCACATCACACGTTCGAGTATAATGGTAAACTCACAATATACATTGTTATGCATTAATGTTGATTTTATAAGTCACCATGTCACCACATCACACGTTCGAGTATAATGGTAAACTCACAATATACATTGTTATGTATTAATGTTGATTTTATAAGTCACCATGTCACCATATCACACGTTCGAGTATAATGGTAAACTCACAATATACATTGTTATATATTAATGTTGATTTTATAAGTTACCGTGTCACCATATCACACGTTCGAGTATAATGGTAAACTCACAATATACAATGTTATGTATTAATGTTGATTTTATAAGTCACCATGTCATCATATCACACGTTCGAGTATAATGGTAAACTCACAATATACATTGTTATGTATTAATGTTGATTTTATAAGTCACCATGTCACCACATCACACGTTCGAGTATAATGGTAAACTCACAATATACATTGTTATGCATTAATGTTGATTTTATAAGTCACCATGTCACCATATCACACGTTCGAGTATAATGGTAAACTCACAATATACATTGTTATGTATTAATGTTGATTTTATAAGTCACCATGTCACCACATCACACGTTCGAGTATAATGGTAAACTCACAATATACATTGTTATGTATTAATGTTGATTTTATAAGTCACCATGTCACCATATCACACGTTCGAGTATAATGGTAAACTCACAATATACATTGTTATGTATTAATGTTGATTTTATAAGTCACCATGTCACCACATCACACGTTCGAGTATAATGGTAAACTCACAATATACATTGTTATATATTAATGTTGATTTTATAAGTCACCGTGTCACCATATCACACGTTCGAGTATAATGGTAAGAACATCTCATCATTAGTATACCATCTCTTCATGTTGCATCAAGAACATCTCATCATAAGTATACCATCTCTTCATGTTGCATCAAGAACATCTCATCATAAGTATACCATCTCTTCATGTTGTATCAAGAACACCTCATCATAAGTATACCATCTCTTCATGTTGTATCAAGAACATCTCATCATACGTATACCATCTCTTCATGTTGTATCAAGAACATCTCATCATAAGTATACATAATCTTCATCTTCTATCAAGAACATCTCATCATAAGAATACCATCACTTCATGTTCTATCAAGAACATCTCATCATAAGTATACATAATCTTCATCTTCTATCAAGAACATCTCATCATAAGTATACCATCACTTCATGTTGTATCAAGAACATCTCATCCTAAGTATACCATCACTTCATGTTGTATCAAGAACATCTCATCATAAGTATACCATCTCTTCATGCTGTATCAAGAACATCGGATCATAATCATAAGTATACCACATCTTCATCTTCTATCAAGAACATCTCATCATAAGTATACCATCTCTTCATATTGTATTCAAACACATCTCATCATAAGTATACCATCTCTTCATATTGTATTCAAAAAACATCTCATCATAAGTATACCATATCTTCATGTCATATCGTATACAGTTGTTGTTTTTTACAAAGAGTTGCCAGGTAACCCCCAAAGATATATGTTCAATTTAATCGTAACCTGTTGTAGATTAGAAAGCGGCACCACACGGAAATCCGCGCGACAAGTAATTTCTTGGAAATCAGCCTGAAATCTCCCATTATAGCGGTGGCAGGGTTTAGACGTAGTGTCAAAAATGCTGAACGGATGTATATATTTATCTTTTTAAAAACAAACCGGAGTTTTGTTATTTTGACGTTGTACTCATGAAGCAGGTGTTTTGAAATAATCCCTTAGCGATAATACATATTAGGAATGACTATCTCTCCATCCTGAACGTCGACCTGGCTTATCTTACCTGCAGGACGACGACAGAGAGACTGCTTACTGGTGAGACCGATGATTATGTGGCCCTGGCACAGTGGTTAGTGTGAGTTTTACTTAAATGTGTGTGTTTTACTTAATTGTGTGTGTTTTACTGAATTGTGTGTGTTCAAGTTTGATAAGCTGTTTAACTGATATCGAACTTATACAATATTTTAATATGTTACCGGTGGTCATTGTTGTATGCATCGATGCGTAGGCTGTCGATAAATCGATGTTTTCACATACGCACGTCTTTTGTGCGAAGAGGCTTAATTTAAATAGATATCAGTAGAAACAATGATACCTCTTTTAAACCAATAAGAACTATGCATTCCTCCATGTCATTGTAGAATAATTAGCATACCATCTCTACATGTTGTATCAAGAACATCTAATTATTAGAATGCCTTCTCAGATCTCTGCGTCTTCTCCTCACACTCTCTCGTCTCAACTCTCTGCGTCTCCTCCGCTCTCTGTGTCTTCTCCACTCTCTGTGTCTTCTCCACTCTCTGTGTCTTCTGCGTCTTCCCCACTCTCTGTGTATTCTCCGCTGTGTCTTCATCATTCTCTGTGTCTTCGCCACCCTCTGCGTCTTCTGCGTCTTCTCCACTCTCTGTGTATTCTCCGCTGTGTCTTCATCATTCTCTGTGTCTTCGCCACCCTCTGCGTCTTCTGCGTCTTCTCCACTCTCTGCGTCTCCTCCGCTCTCTGTGTCTTCTCCACTCTCTGTGTCTTCGCCACCCTCTGCGTCTTCTGTGTCTCTTCCACTCTCTGTGTCTCCTCCACTCTCTGTGTCTTCACCACTCTCTGCGTCTTCACCACTCTCTGTGTCTTCTCCACTCTCTGTGTATTCTCCGCTGTGTCTTCATCACACTCTCTGTCTTCACCACTCTCTGTGTCTCCTCCACTCCCTGTGTCTTCTCCACTCTCTGTGTATTCTCCGCTGTGTCTTCACCACTCTCTGTGTCTTCTCCACTCTCTGTGTATTCTCCGCTGTGTCTTCATCACACTCTGTGTCTTCACCACTCTCTGTGTCTCCTCCACTCCCTGTGTCTTCTCCACTCTCTGTGTATTCTCCGCTGTGTCTTCATCACTCTCTGTGTCTTCACCACTCTCTGTGTCTCCTCCACTCCCTGTGTCTTCACCACTCTCTGTGTCTTCGCCACACACTGCGTCTTCTCTGCCTCCTCTCCACGCTCTGTGTTTTCTCTACTCTCTGCATCTTCTCCACTCTCTGCATCTTCTCTACTCTTTGCATCTTCTCCACTCTCTGTGTCTTCTCCACGCTCTGCGTTTTCTCCACTCTCTGCCTCTTCTCCACTCTCTGCGTCTTCACCACGCTCTGCGTCTTCTCCACTCTCTGCATCTTCTCTACTCTCTGCATCTTCTCCACTCTCTGCATCTTCTCTACTCTCTGCATCTTCTCCACGCTCTGCATCTTCTCCACTCTCTGCATCTTCTCCACGCTCTGCGTCTTCGCCACTATCTGCGTCTTCTCTACTCTCTGCATCTTCTCCACGCTCTGTGTCTTCTCTACTCTCTGCATCTTCTCCACGCTCTGCGTCTTCTCCACTCTCTGCGTCTTCTCCGCTCTCTGCGTCTTCACCACTCTCTGCATCTTCTCCACTCTCTGTGTCTTCTCCACGCTCTGCGTCTTCACCACTCTCTGCATCTTTTCTACTCTCTGCATCTTCTCCACGCTCTGCGTCTTCTCCACTCTCTGCGTCTTCTCCGCTCTCTGCGTCTTCACCACTCTCTGCATCTTCTCCACTCTCTGTGTCTTCTCCACGCTCTGCGTCTTCTCCACTCTCTGCATCTTCTCTACTCTCTGCATCTTCTCCACTTTCTGCATCTTCTCTACTCTCTGCATCTTCTCCACGCTCTGCATCTTCTCCACTCTCTGCATCTTCTCCACGCTCTGCGTCTTCGCCACTATCTGCGTCTTCTCCGCTCTCTGCGTCTTCCCCCACCCTCTGCATCTTCTCCACTCTCTGTGTCTTCTCCACGCTCTGCGTCTTCTCCACTCTCTGCGTCTTCTCCGCTCTCTGCGTCGTCACCACTCTCTGCATCTTCTCCACGCACTGCATCTTCTCCACGCACTGCGTCTTCTCCACTCTCTGCATCTTCTCCACTCTCTGCGTCTTCTCCACTCTCTGCGTCTTCTCCACTCTCTGCATCTTCTCCACGCACTGCATCTTCTCAACGCACTGCGTCTTCTCCGCTCTCTGTGTCTTCTCCACACTCTGCGTCTTCTCAACTCTCTGCATCTTCTCCACGCTCTGCGTCTTCTCCACTCTCTGCGTCTTCTCCACTCTCTGCATCTTCTCCACGCACTGCATCTTCTCCACGCACTGCGTCTTCTCCACGCTCTGCGTCTTCTCCACTCTCTGTGTCTTCTCCACACTCTGCGTCTTCTCCGCTCTCTGCGTCTTCTCCGCTCTCCGTCTCTTCTCCACGCACTGCGTCTTCTCCACTCGCTGCATCTTCTCCACGCACTGCATCTTCTCCACGCACTCCGTCGTCTCCACGCTCTGCGTCTTCTCCGCTCTCTGTGTCTTCTCCACGCTCTACGTCTTGTCTGCTCTCTGTGTCTTCTCCACTCTCTGTGTCTTCTCCGCTCTCTGTGTCTTCACCGATTCTACCGCCAACAGCCCAGGTAGCATGCCATCATCGGCCCTGCATCCGCCCAACGTTGGCTACACCTTCGGCCCAACGTCGGCAAACTGCATCGGGCCGATGAAGTTTTGCTCATCGGCCCAACGTCGGCAAACGTCATCAGCCCTGCATCGGCAATGCACCGGCCCAGCATTGGCCCAGCGTCGGCAAACATCGTCGGGCCGATGAAGTTTTGCTAATCGGATCGACATCGGCCCAACGTCGTAAATAGTTATCTGGCCCGCCATCGGCCAGACATAGGCAACTGTTATCGAATCAGCATCGGATGGACATCGGCCCAACGTCGACAATAATTATCGGCACAGCATTGGGTTGACATTCACTGGACAAAATATAATCCATTCCAAACAATCCAAAAGGTCATATTTCCAAGCTTGGATTTGTTTGGATTTGTTTGGATATGTTTGGATACAACATGTCATAATCATATCTGTTAAATGTTGTACAACTTTTGACCTTATGTGATATTAGTAATGACATGAAAGTAAATAATTAAGAGTATTTTGGCGCTATTTACCACGAAAAGACCAAATCATGAGCAAATTTAACTAAAAGAATTTAAAGTGGCTACTCTTTATATTTAATATTTTGTTTTCCAACGATTTCGTCAAATGAATCATTGAGCCAGGAATGCAACGATTTAAATGCTGACAAAATGAATAAACATATCTGGAACAGAGTAGACTGTTCATGCGGACAATTATATGCTACGTCTATTGCCAATGAAGTTTATCACCCCATGTTATAGCATTTGTTTCATATAAAAGATAGAAGCCAAATAAATGGGACAATTAGTTGTTATGAATTAGATTTACCTCTGTGACATATCACGCAACTGAATATCAAATAACCAATTATAATAATTAGCCTATACATGGACCATGTATGCAGTGAGTTCTTTATACAGAGAAAAGTGAAATTCAACAGTTGGCAATAGTTGACCATTTCAAAGCGTAAACAACGACCATAAGAGCTTTATTGTGATTTGCACAGTATTTGTTATGGTTGAATAGTACAACTTTCGGTGAAAATATCATCCCTGAAAGCCTAACATGACCCAAAAATGATCGATGTACACAAACAGTTAATGTACATATGAGGGAAATTCATTTCTCTTTAATTTTGTACTTGACCACTGAATAAGCAATACATTCATATCAGCAACGAATGACTTTTACCAATGTTGAACGCAGAGGGTAATGTGTTTTTATTGCGTATTCCAATGATCAACATTCAAGACCATTGTCCCTCGACAAATCATCAGTAGCTTGTAGCGCACACATTAACTTAGTCTTCACCTGTATGTACCTTGTTTGTGAGTGTGATTGAAATGTGTTGTGGGTGGTTCACCACTTAAAGTGAGATCAAGGCGATGTTAATAACGTATGCTAACATCGCGTTGACTCGATCCTGCTTCAAGAATTCCAATTGCTCGAAGACGCTCATTTTCGGACAGGCGTGGCATTTCGCAATGTGGAATAATTGCGTAATTTTGTTGTTTTTCTGAGTGGATGTTGTCAGCACGATGCTAAACACAATGCATATGGAATCCCGTTCACACACATGTTTTCATACCCATTCTTGGGTAGTGAAATGCATGGGGCTTGCATAAAAGTCAACTTTTGCATGGAATGCATACTTTTCTGTAGCAGTTGCGATTTTGTGACTTGATTCCATACATGTACTACAAATACTTGTTTGAAAAATACACTGATATATTGGTGTGACAGGAACTTTTGTTGTTGAGTACTATACTATTCACAACAATTATCTTTTTTAATTGGGACCGCCTCGGTGGTCTAGTGGTAGAGCGTTCGCCCGGAGAGCGGACTGTTCGGGGATTCCCAGCCGCGTCAAATCAAACTACGTTAAAAGATGATACTTGTTGTTACCCTGTCTGGCGCTCGGCATTATGGGTCTAAAACAGGAACTGGTCGGCTTGGAGTATATTGTGTCTGAGTGGGGTATTCAATACTATTCATGTTAAACTGCGGCATGGTATCTCAGTGGGATAGCACTATAAAGCGACATCAGTCCGGACTAGTACAAGCAGCCACACACACACACACGTGCATGCACGTCGCAATAAAAGTGCAATAATATTGGACGTGCAAGCAAACCCTATTTCACCTCACCTTTTAAAGTGTCTACTTAATAGTCGTTTAACGTCCATAAAATTACCATCAAACAATTCACTTCATTGACAAGGATACGCAACTTGGTCGTTATGTGATGTCCGCAGCAAAACATTATTGAATTCCTTGTGAGGCTCCAAACGTTTCTAATCGCTGCCACACACACAAACACGCGATAATTTAACGCGACATTTAACCCTATTTCACATCACCTCACCTCAAAACTTTTCTGTCAACACTCGTATGTCCTTCCAAACAGAATGCATCAGTTGTTTTACTGAGAGTCAGATTAGTCCATTTCCACATACAAGCTGATGTAACCGGAAACAAACCTTCAGCTACACAACCAAGTCTCGCAACAACCACCACCACCCTACCTCTCCCCCAACCCTCCGTCCGGCTACATAACCACGTCACGCAACAACCACCACCACCCTACCTCTCCCTTTCTCCCCCCACCCTCCCTCCAGCTACACAACCAAATCTCGCAACAACCACCACCACCCTACCTCTCCCCTTCTCCCCCCATCCTCCCTCCACCTACACAACCAAGTCTCGCAACAACCACCACCACCCTACCTCTCCCCTTCTCCCCCCATCCTCCCTCCACCTACACAACCAAGTCTCGCAACAACCACCACCACCCTACCTCTCCCCTTCTCCCCCTACCCTCCCTCAAGCTACACAACCAAGTCTCGCAACAACGACCACCACCCTACCTCTCCCCTTCTCCCCCTACCCTCCCTCAAGCTACACAACCAAGTCTCGCAACAACCACCACCACCCTACCTCTCCCCTTCTCGCACCACACTCCGTCCGGCTACACAACCAAGTCTCGCAACAACCACCAACACCCAACCTCTCCCCCTCTACCCCCAACACTCCCTCCAGCTACATAACCAAGTCTCGCAACAACCACCACCACCCTACCTCTCCCCTTCTCCCCCCACCCTTCCTCCGGCCACACAACCAAGTCTCGCAACAACCACCACCCTACCTCTCCCCTTCTCGCACCACCCTCCGTCCGGCTACACAACCAAGTCTCGCAACAACCATCACCACTCTACCTCTCCCCTTCTCCCCCTACCCTCCCTCAAGCTACACAACCAAGTCTCGCAACAACCACCACCACCCTACCTCTCCCCCCACCCTCCCTCCAGGTACACAGCCAAGTCTCGCAACAACCACCACCACCCTACCTCTCCCCCCACCCTCCTTCCAGCTACACAACCAAGTCTCGCAACAACCACCACCACCCTACCTCTCCCCTTCTCGCACCACCCTCCGTCCAGCTACACAACCAAGTCTCTCAACAACCACCACCACCCTACCTCTCCCCCCACCCTCCGTCCAGGTACACAACCAAGTCTCGCAACAACCACCACCACCCTACCTCTCCCCCCACCCTCCCTCCAGCTACACAACCAAGTCTCGCAACAACCACCACCACCCTACCTCTCCCCTTCTCGCACCACCCTCCGTCCAGCTACACAACCAAGTCTCTCAACAACCACCACCACCCTACCTCTCCCCCCACCCTCCCTCCAGGTACACAGCCAAGTCTCGCAACAACCACCACCACCCTACCTCTCCCCCCCACCCTCCTTCCAGCTACACAACCAAGTCTCGCAACAACCACCACCACCCTACCTCTCCCCTTCTCGCACCACCCTCCGTCCAGCTACACAACCAAGTCTCTCAACAACCACCACCACCCTACCTCTCCCCCCACCCTCCGTCCAGGTACACAACCAAGTCTCGCAACAACCACCACCACCCTACCTCTCCCCCCACCCTCCCTCCAGCTACACAACCAAGTCTCGCAACAACCACCACCACCCTACCTCTCCCCCCACCCTCCCTTCAGCTACACAACCAAGTCTCGCAACAACCACCACCACCCTACCTCTCCCCCCACCCTCCCTCCAGCTACACAACCAAGTCTCGCAACAACCACCACCAACCTACCTCTCCCCCGACCCTCCCTCCAGCTACACAACCAAGTCTCGCAACAACCGCCACCACCCTACCTCTCCCCCCACCCTCCCTCCAGCTACACAACCAAGTCTCGCAACAACCACCACCACCCTACCTCTCCCCCCACCCTCACTCCAGCTACACAACCAAGTCTCGCAACAACCACCAACACCCTACCTCTCCGCCCACCCTCCCTTCAGCTACACAACCAAGTCTCGCAACAACCACCACCATCCTTCTCCCCCCACCCTCCCTCCAGCAACACAACCAAGTCTCGCAAGATCCACCACCACCCTACCTCTCCCCCAACCCTCCCTCCAGTTACACAACCAAGTCTCGCAACAACCGCCACCGTCCTACCTCTCCCCCAACCCTCCCTCCAGCTACACAACCAAGTCTCGCAACAATCACAACCACCCTACCTCTCCCCCTCTACCCACCACCCGCGTAGTAGCCTCTTGCATTGAATATGTGAAATACGTGAGTGATTGAATGTTATTTTAAACCACAACCTGCAATAGTCCAGCTATATGGCGACGATCTGTTGATAGAAACTGGATCAGGCCAATCAAAGTGATATTTATGTTCAAATATAATTGTGTCCAGCAATCAGTCGTCGTTTACAGTGCTATAATCTACAAGACAATGAAGCGATTTTCCGTTATTCCCGGTGTATTGAAGACGCGAAATGAGATATTATGTTGCGTACGGGT